TCTTGCCAGCCCTTCCTTCACTAACCAGACGTGGACCTTTTTCAGCTTCCCAGAATAAAATCAGAGAATACTTTCATTTACTCTATACTTTCTCCTAGATGAAGGCATTGCTCCACGACTGAGATTTTTTTTCTCCCCTCCCCTGAGTGATGGATCTTTATTTGTCTAATTCATATTGCTGTTAGAATAGTTGATCGACTCCTTACATATGTAAACTCATTTGTAGCGTTAGCCCCGAATGTGTTCTTTTTCCCCTTCGTTCCTGTTTGAACAAAATCAAACGGACCACTTGCTTATGTTGCAGCTGAAACCTGGCAGCCAGACCCATTCCTTGTGTCTCTAAACTCTTTCTCTAAAATCTAAAATAATAACATGGAGCAATAATGTAATAGCATGTAGTAGATAATATAATAGAATCGTCAACATCACTGATCATGCAGGCTGGGGCTTTTATTGAATAAAATAAGGGTTCTTTGGCCACAAGCCCCTTAATACCTGGAGTGTTGATCTAATAATCCAGACAGCTGTTATGGGAGGAATGGTTAGGTAGCAAACACAACGATCTATCTCATACTTATTGAGACCATGTTTTTAAAAATTAAATTCACCAATATCTGCTAAGTCTAAAGCACAGTTTGGCCTTAGAGTTAAAAGTTCAATAAACCTCAGTGAAATGAATACATAAAGAAATTAATGTGTAGCCCAACCAACCAACAAACAAACATTGCCAAATCTTTTCATATTAAATAAAGTCAGCAAATAAGGGGACATAAGACACTATTCAGACAAATGAAAATATAATACAATTAAGGGTTTTAACCTCCCGGCTAGGTGATAAAAAGAAGGCTTAATGAGGAAATTAAGAGATAAAGAAAGATGTTTATAATTCAAAAAACGTGTTTCTCATCTTCGTTTTTTGTTGTTGTTTTTTCCCCTGTCACTCCCCCTCCCCCAGCCAGTATTTCTTTGGGGGTGAGGGGGGGTGGCATATTTGCCGATCAGCTCTCCGGACACACAGAAACCCCCTTGTGAAGTTTATCGTTATCTCCATAGCGGTTATGTTATTAATTGCTTCTCATCCTATAGATGCCAATTTATACATCTGTGTTGGAAAGCCCGTGTTGTGTGCACCTGTCGGTGGCTCTTCAGCTTCGTATTTCTCCTCCCGCGGCTCTCCCTGGACTGAAGGGTCATTCTTCTCATTCACCTGCTTCTTTCAATCTAGTGAATGCTCTGTGGCTGCAGGACAATGTCTTTTCTGTTCCCTCTGCATGTCCAACTCGTAGCGCCCTATCTGTAACATTTTAAGTGCTCACTATGCATCCCAAATGAGTGTGCAGGGCAGCCTGAAGTCATTCTTACAATGATAGCAGGGTGAAAGAATGGTAATTTCAACAGCCTTCCTAGCGCTGCATATCCACTTTATACTACCCATTTGATTTAATTCCCATGCAATATGCTTCTTTTAAAAGCCAAGATGAATTAAATGTTTTTCTCAGTTGTTATTTGTGTTAATTGTGAAACACTGATTTATTTTAGGTTAAGAGCACTTTTTTCTTTCTAATAATCTTACCGGTACTGTTTATCTTTTAGGAAAAAAATTTACTAGATCCTGGTTCATTGTACCAAGATATTCAAAGAAAGGACTCTCAAAACAGTTTTCTGCCCCTGCTATTTTTTGTTTTTCATTTTCTTTATTTTTCTTTCACTACTTTCAATGGGTCTAGCTTTTCTGATTTCTCAACTCACTAGTTGATTGTAGTTTGCTCCATGTAGGTGTTTTGCTTGTGGGTTGGTTGGTTGGTTGGTGTTGTTTTGCTTTTTTCTTTTTGTGCAGTTCTTTTGTGTGTTTGAACCTATCCTTTGTTCTAATCATTTGCTTGGCTGGTGTTCTATCACTTAACACAGGCCTCCAGCCTGGCTTTTTTCTGGTTAATTGTAGGAAGAGTCTCATGGGCTTTTCTGCCCTGGAGGGATTCTTTGATCATCTATCCTCACATCTCAACATCCTGAAAAACTAATAATCCAGGCATGAGCCAACAGTGCCCAGCTCCCTATTTGTAGTTTTGTTTTCCTGCATGGGTGGGGGGTTAGCTCTTTTCTAATATTTGACATTTCCCTTTATTATTATTTATTCTCTTTCTAAAAAATTGATTCATTTATTTTTGTGTCAGTACTGTGGCTTGAACTCAGGGCCTTTCACTCTTACTGGGCTTTTTTTCCTCAAGGCTGGTGTTCTTCCATTTAAGGTACATCTCTATTTGATTTATTTTTCTTAATTATATTTAAATCGTTGTACGAAAGGGGTTTTAATTCAGTACGTCAGTTTATGAGTAGAATGCATCTTGATCAGGGTCACCTCTTCCATAATTTCCCCCATCTCTCCTAACCCTAACCATCTACTCGAGTTACCTAGCATTTGGACTTTCTTAACCTTAACAACACATACTTATCAAGCACTTCCATAAGTCAAGAAGTACAAGAAAAATGATGAGCATGCTCGATACAGTTCTTCCATTTAAGTCACTAATGATCAGGGATGGAAGGGGATCGGGATAGAAATACACTTATTTGCATTATTGTATATTCTGCATGAGAAATTTAGAAACCCATGGCACCTACAGAGCTAGCAGAAGCACCTTCCAGGCAGTAGTGTTCCTAGATAGGTCAAGCCAGACTCGAAGTGGAGTGGAATAGGAGTGACAAACCAAGGAAAGGCATTACAGATTTAATGGAGCTGTGGTTCAAGTGGTCGAACACAAGCCTTGAGCAAAAAAGCTTAAAGGACAGCAATCAAGCCCTGAGTTCAAGCCCCAGTATTGGCAGGTGTGTCCGTGTACGTGTGCACACAAACACACGCATACAGATCTCTTTTCTATTTCATTATGTTACTGCTTGAACTTATTTGTTCCTCTCAAGGCAGCTGAAACTAGATGTGACTGTCATTTATGTTTAATTTCCAAAAGTCCTTTCCCCTCCCCTCCATGATTTTAATAAAACAAAATTAATTAAAGCGAAACGGGTGGTGTACAAGTGTTAGTGAATAAATAACATTCTGGTGGCCGGTAAAAGGCCACATTGTTGTAAGGAATTAAGGAAAGCTCTGACGGCTACAATCATAGGAACACACGGCTGTACTGGAATAGAAAGCCGAGGATGCTCGGAGCTATTCCCGAGAGAATTCTCCCAGCGTCTTGTAGGTGAATCTTCTGCAGGATATTTAACAATGCAGAGCCCAGTATGAAAAAAAAAATCGATGATATCCTTTGGCTGCTGTGTCCTCAGGCCGCAAATGGCTGCCTCTTGAAGGACCAGGTGTCAGAATAACATTCATGTCATATCTGTGTTGCTGACACCGCCTCCTCCTCCTCCTCTTCCTCTTCCTCCTCCTCTTCCTCCTCCTCCTTTTCCTCCTGTCTCCACAACAACGCAGTGGCAGAGCCGCGCTGCCCATGTGCCTTGCTGAGGTCACCTCCTCCTTTCTCAGAATCCTGCTTTTCTGCCAAGGTTTGGGCCTCTGTGGTCACAGCTGCTGGGGTCAATGGCCTTAGGTCACTGTCCATCCCATAGGTGCAGATGGCGGCTTCCCCATTCTCTAACCACACAGAGGAGGGTGATGAGCGATGGTGTGTGTGAGGCATTTTCGCCAGGCTCCTTCTGGCTCTGACAGCAAGAGGTGCTGCAAGACGTCAGCCCCACTGTGACTCCTTGTATTAGGGCATAAACAGCATGGGCTGGAATAAAAGCTGCACCCCTGACTCACTCAGAGAAGCCCACCATTGTAAATGAAAAGGGGCAGGGTTATTTTTATTTGTGGTAGTAGCGGGTAGTGAGGGGAGGTAGGCTTTCTCCAAATCCTGTTCCTTCAACAGGTGTGACAGTCCCATTAGATGTGGGCAGGAAGTTTCCTGGAAGTCAAGTCACTCCCCTATTTATCTGGGTGGTTATAGAAACAACTCCCCCCCCACACCCCGCCCCGAATCGCCTGACTCCCCCAGCTTCATGAAAGATGTCACAGGCAGCTGCTACACAGGCTGGATTGCATCTCAGGAACCCAGGGGCTTCTCAGGCACCTTCTGCACCTGCATGCACCTGCTAAAGAAATGCAGGGAATTCCAAGCCCCAGCTGATAGCTTCCTCACCCTAACCGGACTCCCAGTTTACTTCTTTTAGGAGTGATGTGACAGGTCGCCCCCTCCCCATCCCTCCCACAATCCAGCTTGCACAGAAGAGATCCCAGCTTTCATGAAATGGCCTTTCTCCCTTCTTGGAGTTTAAATAATAAAACGGTGAAAGCCCCCTTTTTATATTAAACTCCTCCTAGTCAAAGGCATTGGCAGCTTCATGCTGCTGCTGCTGTTCATTCATTGCCACTCACCCCACTCCACCATTTCAAGGGTCCCCTAGCTGCCCACTGTAACTCCAAGACAACTTGGTCACAAATGCCTCCAGGGGCAACTTCCCAACCCCAACCCCATTTCCCAGGCGTCAGGTGGATCGCTCTGGTACCCCTTGTCAGGAAGGCATCTTCATCTTCAACCCTCAGGAAAAATCCAGGAGGTGGCAGGAGAAACTCTGAGCAGGTGGGGAGGATCATGGATTCTCTTATTAAGCTCCTCTTATTAGGCTTTAGGAGCCATACCTCGGAAGGCTATAGTTAAGGGTTAATGAAATGGATAAAATGAGTTTAAAGGGCTTACAACGAAGTCCTATTCTTTATGTGTCCACAAAATATACTTGCTGGTTTTGATAAAATTGGAAACTATTATAAATAAATACCAGTCATTATTTATATGTAGTGTGATGAAGGACAGATTTGTTTTTACCCTTCCCCACCCCCCCCTCAAACTTTTGTGAGGGATATGTTTAATGAAAAAGAAAAAAAAGTTGTAAGCTTCATATAATTCCCGTGTCCATGAGTTGTGACTTCCCCCTCCCTCATTCCCCCCCTCCCCACCTTGTTTACATGACCAAGAAAGAAATACACTTCTCCAGGAGAATGCTTGCATCACGAGAATCTTTAATAGTTAAACTTTATTCATGATGGGGTGGTATATATGTGTTTTTAGTTAAAGTGTGCTAAGTGCTCTCAACTGGGACCGTTCCCAACCATTCCAGTTCCAATCAGTTCAGTTCCAATCAGTCCAGTTCACTTCGGCGAGGATGTTTCTGGTGCCCAATGAGTCACAGAGGAGGGAGGGCCTTGACTTTTGGCTTGGTCAGGCCCAGCTGTGGTGAACCCTTCCATACTCTCCAGGATCAAGTCTACCTTAATACACATCATGGGTCCCATGGAAAAGAACAGGATGGAAAAAAAGATATTTTCCCCCCTTCAATGTATTTCATAACTTTAGCACGTCTCTGGTACAAAAAAAAAAAAAAAGAGAAAGAAAATCACAAAAAGCAAAAGCACCCAACAGAGCTCACTTTAGGAAACAAACATGCATACATTCTACAACACTACTACTCAAAAGAGTATACCCACGTGAATACAACATTGGCATGAAGATGTAGAAAGAGCACTGTGACTGAAAACGGAAGAGGTTTAACACTGGGAATACTGCACTGGAAATCCTGAATACTCTAAATGACCCGAGCCCCACCCACCCCCTTTCCAGAAGCAATGTGGACGGTCAGAAACGATTCTGCCTCCAAGTACCCCACCTGCCCCTTCCCCCCCCCTCTCCTCCTCATTTACTCCTCAGAGACGCTGTTGCGGGGGCCGTGGGCATCGGGATGCGCCTCCCGCCGAGCTCTGGCCTCCTCCAGAGCCTCCCTGTATCTGGAGGGCCAGGCCTGGGGGTCTTTCTTGAAGACCCTGGCCAGGAACTCCATGATCTGCATCTTGGTGATTTCACGGTTGGCCCGGGAGCCCCAGTAGAACTCGTACTCGGGCGGCTCGACGTAGGGGATGCGCTGGTACTTCAGGTAGTTCTGCTGCACGAACTCCTCGGTGATGAGCTTGCGGACGTCTCCGAAGGTGGGGTGCTTCTTCCAGGGCCGCAGCCCCAGGATGCGCAGCACGTTCCACACGGCGCTCTCCCTGGCCCCCCGACCCTTGACATAAATGAGACTCAGGATCATGAGCAGCAGGCCCATCATGGGCATGCGGTTATTCAGCGCCACCCGCTCCAGATCCTCGGGGCTGAGAGCCTTGACCAACGCAAACTCCATGGTGTGGAGATTGGTCAGTCTCAGGTGCAGCCCGAAGACCCTGGCCAGGATGAGGCTGGTGCGCCTGAGGATGCTTCGGCACCACTTCTTGTAGCTGCCGATGACATCCTTGACCATGTCGGGGAACCAGATCACCATCCGCTTCTGGTCCTTCACCAGCACATACCACATCAGCTCGTGCGCCTTCTGCACCAGCTGCGCGGGCGCGGGCGG